TTTGTGATATTTATTGATAATTAATCTGTGGATTGGACTGGTTTCTTTAAAGTGTACTGTAGTTTACCACTTGCTTTTGTCAGTGAATTATGTTTCCTATTGGTCATTCCACCTGCTACTGTTTTTCACACAGAATTTATTACGGTAGGTATCAACAATAACTTCTGTCCCGTAATCTAGTTGCTCATTTTAGACTAGGCGCCAAATTGTGAGTCAAGGGCATTTTGCAGGGGGGGCGGTCGCAGGGGTATTTGCCCTAGTTGCTGGGGAACTAGGCTAGTGCCTTCTAAAAATATGATTTTAAGAAAACACATAATTTGTAAAACATATCCATTATAACAATAATATTCATGATTTTAGCTTGTGTCGTTTACAGCAAAGTCGACACTATTACGTTCAAGCCTACTTTATTATATCAGGTCTGTTAGTCATAGGCCAGACAGGGCCCGCAGTACTTTACTATTTAATCTGTATTACGTTCCTATTATGTTTGGCCATTATGCTATAATAATTATAGCTATCGTAGATTTCTAGTCAATTTATAATCAGGCCATACTGGGGAGGACAACTTGATTTCCTGCTCCACAACAAGACATGCATTCGAAGGGGGAGGGAGGGGATCTCCTACCATGCCCACCCCCTGCTCGATATTGTCGTATTAACAGTACTTGTATGACTGTCATGTGACTGTTGGCAGACGAATTCAAATCTGCCCCCTGTGAGCATTAGACAACGGGATGCTGTCTGCTGAATGTCAGTGGCAGTCTAAACGATTGTCATCAAAAATAATCTGTTGCACGCGCATCGTGACGTTGCGTTCTTTATATAGAATCGTGTCAGCCAACAGGCATCAGGTGCAATGAGTGAGGTTTTAGTAGTCAATTTATACACAGCGTGGCAGTGGTGCATTACTGTACATCACAGTGCAATCAATTTTAACAGCGCACAGTAGCAGTCGTTGCACACATAATTATTAAGATTTGTCTGCACGGTGAATGAATTCCTTCGCTGTTCGCGAAATCCGAATTTATTTGTTGTATAGAATACAAAGCGATTATTTGTTGAGCGACACGTATTCATGTCGCATTCAATGTTGATTTTGTAAAACATCTTTCATGAAATAAAAGCAGATAAAATTGCAATGGAAACTGAACTGGGATTGAGGTTAAGGAAAGGCTTTGTTTCATTAAAATCATCACTTTCATTAACTATGTGAAACTTATTCTTGATAACACAAATCTTCAGTTTGGGTTTTGATTGAGTAAAGCATGCCCATCGGATAGATTTGTAAGTCATACATGTTCCCTTGTGAGGAGGCTTTGCACTTTCACTTTAATCTTTCTTATCTGTTATCAGCCTGCTTGCCTTATTGTAGGCCTATGTTCGTTCATTAGGAGTGGCTCAGTAAGTCCAAGGTATGGCTGGAATGGCAAGAATGAGCTCCACAACTCAAAGCATTTAGGCTGGCAAAAACTTGCATCATAATCATCATCATCCTTATCATTCTCACAATTATCAATTCAAGATCATAATCACCATCAACATTGTCATAATTGTCATTATCATTGTTATCTATGTACAGTAGTTATCAAATCAACGTCATAATCATCATCTTCAACATCTATCATCCTCAGCATTTTCATCATCATGTTTTCATTTGCACCAGGTCTAAAAATAACCTACTCATATTGAAATTAAACTTGTTAATAAATTAATAAGCATTTGATATTGTAGGATTGTCGACAGTAAGTTACGTAATGCCTACAGGCTCTCAGTGGGGAGCCAGGCCCCAGGGCTCCCAGTCCAAATGGACACCTGAGTGTGTGGATACTTTGAACAATACAGTACATTGCCTTGAATTGCAGTGTTTTCAGCCTTAACATTCAAAATGTTTTCAGGTTAGAGAATACATTTTTGCCCCTTAGACCACAACTTGTTGTTATGCTACTGTCGTCAATTGTACGAGTGTACAGATATTTTTCATTAAGTATCTATGTTTATAGTGATTGATTTTAGATCATAAAAATATTGTGTGTATACAGTATGAAATGAAATCCATTTGATGGACACATAAAATATAGTCTTTAAAAGACTTTTCTTGTTGTGCAATTAGCATCTGATAAGACTTCTTTAGATTGAATGCCAGTGAAATGTACAATGTACCAATATCCTAAAATAAAATCGTAATGTAGGCCTAAAGCTGAGTAGGAAAAAAAATTCAACTTTTGTAGAAAATAAAAGGTAGTTAAACCCTTTTTTATTTTAAATTGCTATAAAATTCTTCGGGTCTACAGTTTTTAATAAGCCACTGATTTATTTTGTCTAAATCCTCCAGATACTTTTCAGAGATATTGATATGGTGGGTGGGACCACTTAGCATTGGAATTCTAAACCAAATCTAAAGCTAATTTCATTGCCCTCTACCCACCTTTATTAACCCTCTTGCTGCTCCTTAAAATCTACTCTTATTTGTTAAAGTTTACCAATATTATCACCCATCCACCCTTAAAATGTCTGCTGTAGTGCCAACTTAAGTTTCATAAAGCTACAACTCTGAATTATTGATAATGAGCTTGCCAAGCAAACCCTGCATCATCTATAGCAGATTTAGCGCAAGGAGAGGAAGAAACGTTTTTGTTAGAGTATAGTCCTAGATTGATTGTGTATACATAAGTATGTTATATTCTTGTAAGTGATTTATTTATTGTGTTTAGGCAAGTGCAAACAGAAAGCTGTGAAAATATGACATTAAAGATACTTGAAATGATGATGTAGTAGACTGCATTCTAGCCCTAGGGTCTGTTGCATTGTTTATGTAAGAAAGTCCGCTTATTGAGTTAATTAGTCCTTGGGAGAATTGCGGCTGATCTAGAGTGAGCACAGAAGGGAATCAAAGCCACATCACTAGTTCCTCCATTTACCATGTAGTAAATGTTGTTAAACATAATCATTGGAGCCCAGAAAAAAAACATATTACTAATGACGATATATCTTGTGACATCATGCAAAGAATAAACCTAAATACATCAATAGATTCATAATTAACTCTCTGCATGATTTTGTCGGCGGTGTTGTACATTCAATCTCAATATTTCAATATTTTCATTTAAAGAATAATTAATCATTTTGCAGTACTTAATGAATGAAGATAAAGTAGTCTAAATTTTATAGATCATTTTACCTTCAGTACTTCCAAAGTTTCATCTGAATACGATAAATCTTTGTTGGATTACGTCAAGGGGATGAATCTTGCAATATCTTTCATAGAGTGAATGTATTATATACTGTAGCCAAACCTAATGTGTATTAAATTAGAATTATTTTGCCCCTGATCATTGGAATGCATTTTGTGAAATTCAAACACTATACCTACAAATGCGTAGCGCCTATGTAAGTGGCCATTAATTTTAAGAATTCAAATGCAACCAGGCAATAATGGTATGGACCGTTAATAGCCTACCGTCTAACATTTAAATCATGGTAATTACTGTAATTAATTTTAAAAACTTTTATTTTATCGTCAGCAAGCAATGGAGAAAAATCAATCATTTACTATACATTAAAAAACTGCATTAATAATGTGTATATCTGGCACGAACATAATCATGAAGGCTTTTGTACGAAAGGTTTGATGATTATTGTCTATGAATATGAAGGCCAGAGCCTTTGTGTAATGTACAACACTGGCCTGTCTATTATGTCCAGCATCTCTTCAACCAGGTATTTCTATTTTCTCAATGTTGTGTATAATGACTAGTAGTTGCCATAGGAACAGTGACATCATCTCTGTGTTGGTTTCCATGGGAGTGAGTTGTTCTCCAGGGCGATGAGTGCATAGAATGATTATCTAGGGTTGTCCTGTTGTACATGATGCATGAGATTAAAACATATTGATAATTCTACAATACAATATTTTTACAGTGTATGTGTATATTAATATTATACATATGTACAAAACAAAAGGTATAGTAGATTACAGTGATGTAGATGGTTGATCAATTACCATAAATCTTACATACCTGTATTTGATAGAATAATTGCACTGAACGTGATATCCTTGTATTATATGACATAATCAATATTCAATCATGTTCCAATACAGTTTTTATGATGCGTAATACAAGAGAAGAAACATTCTAAATACATTAGTGATACAAGTATTAACAAAGCCAAAATTGTATTAGATCATATAAAATTGGTTTTTTTTTTAAATTATACTATACAGTACTATAGGCAGTCTGAAGTATAGCAATAGACTACTGTATGCATGCTAAGTAGTGCAACTTCATAAATTTAACAACACAATTACTGTGTTGGCACAACATTCTTATACCTTGTCTCTTGTACTTGACAGACACAAGGAGTGGAGTTGAATATCTTAGATGCTTGCCTTCCAATCCCAGGTTCCTGGGTTCAATTCCTATCATTGTTGCAGGAGTTTTTCTCGCGACCTAAAAACAACTCAACTCCCTAAATCTCATATTGAGATTTAGTTTGTGTAAAGCATCGTGTGTGTTTGTTTGTCTTGTGTAAGGGATTGTCACCTACAAGTAGGACAGTGATATATTCACTATTGACAATCCTTGGCACATTTATTGTGTGCCTAAAAATGAGAGATGAGAGAAGGGACCAAGATATCCAACTGCACAGGTCTTTCTCCAATTAAAGACCATTTTTGGGACCAGGGTTCTCATTGTCTTTAGCAGAGCTTTGGTATTTAATTAGAATATTAAAAACTATAGAGGGATACGTTAGGCATTCATTTAGGGGCTGTAGAAATGTGGTCTTTAATTGGAGGTGGTCTTTCACTGGAGGTGAGACCTATATTTGTTTTTGTTTTGTCTGTATTTCTGTTCAGTGTATTTGGTATGATATAATGTCAAAGTTAACATCTATGTATTATGATATATGTTGTGATGTCATAAACCAATGGTGATGATTTTTTTTTTTCATTTCACATACAAAACAATGAATTAAATGTTTTTTTTCCTTCTTGACAGTGGGTGATAAGGTTCCAGCTGATATCCGTGTAACCAGTATAAATTCAACTACATTACGAGTAGACCAATCTATACTTACAGGTAGACAATTATTTACATATTTTGCATTTTTCATTATTTTAGTACCTGAAGCATGAAATATTAAGTGATGAATGCTATGATATTCGGTAAATTGCATTGAGCTCATACTCTTGCGTTTAGAAGCCAGGCAAAATAGTTAACAAACCACATTTCTTTAAATGTACTCTATATTATTCACTACATGGTCATTCTAATATGTTCTATGGCATTAACATAATACTTGGTAAGAATCTTGGCGTTACTCGCATGTACTCTACATCATTTGATGTGTATATTTATGAACACACAACCCAGACTGAATACAAACTACTGACTCACCTCGATTTCAAGCCATCTTAAATCATTGACTCTTAAACAGTGCCCCCAAGGACCTTTATTTGACCCAAGTAGCTTTGTGACTTGCAATCTTGGCTTAAACATAATGTCAAAATTTGAGATTCCCCCTTTCCCCTGTCTATTACATTTCAGCTTTTATTTTCTTGGTTGGTTTGTCCTTCATTTAGAATCACTTCAGATTAATATATGCATTATGGTAATTAGGAGAAGATATTAAATTGCTTTAGCTAAAAGGTTGGTAAAGTGGTTCTGTAGAGCAAAATACCATATACTTCTCTTCTTTTTTTACCATATACTAGTTATTCCCACCTTGCAAGCCTTGTAAAACTACTAAATCGGGGCCTATATATCAATCTTGGTTCTTGTCCAAAATTTTGGTAAATCAGTTGGCAAAATTCAGTTTAAATCTTATCAGTTAATGTCTATATCACACATTTTTTTTCAAGCTGTCAAATGCATTTCCTTTTCCTAAATAGCCAATAGAAACATAATTCTTTGCTTTTAATGCAATGCTAAAGCCAAGTAGTTATGATAATGTTACATAAGACAAGACTTTTTATACTTTGTATAGCGCACATCCCCTCCCCCCTCCACTTCCAAAAATGGTGATTTTGAATAAAAATAAAACTTCATTTTTGGCCTGTTAGTGCACACTTAGCCAAAAGAAATTGAAAAGTCATTTAAAAAAATAAAATTCTTTGTTTATTTTGATTACACCCTCTGCTCTTTGAAATTGCCAAAAATAATATGTATTTCTTCATTAACTAATAATTACTTTAATATAAATGTAAAGGCCTTTGTCAAGCTCATTATTACACCATTTAATTCATTAATGAAATTTTACTTTCTCCTCTGCCTAGATTGTTTTTAGCAAAATCATTTTGTCCGACTATCTTTAAAGAAATAATTTTACGAAACAAGGTATAAAAAAAGTCTTGCCTATTAACCAAGATGTATTTTTTATGCACAGTTGATGTTTAATATTGTTGCCTGTGGTTGAGCATGTGCAATGGTGATTTTTTGTTAGCAATTTATCAGTCGAAATTGATCAGTAATTATGCAACCTGTTCAATAATGTATGTAATAAAGAATTACATAAAACAAATTGGGGTTTGTTATTTGCCCGGATGAATCCTATGGAAGGCGCCCATTAGGGTGGCAATAGGCCCTCGTACTTACTACAAAAAGAAAATGCATTGAGTAAAAATGGCTCACTCCTGAATTACTGTAGGTTATTAGGCAATATGCACAAAACTGTCTCCTATAATCTGATTTTCCCTGTTCACGATCTTAATTAGTAAATGACTTAATTTACAGTTGTAATTAATTTACTTGTTCAAATAAATTGTCACAATGAGTTATTAATTTCATCACTGATCATCAATTCCTGAGACATGTTTGCAGCTTGTCTAAATCACTAGTACTAGTAGATCTACAAACTCACAGTTTCTACAATAAAATGCACCCACAAAATGTACAGTATGTAAAATTGATTACGTTTCTGCGAACAAATTCTACTTTACATTTCAATTTGTTTTTGGTGTGTATAAAAAAAGAAATAAATTAGTGAACTGGCTGCTGTTCAGATGTGTATGCAAGAGATTGATATTAATTGGCTTTAAAATGTTAAGTACAAAGTGATGAGATGTTGAAATCAAAGCCATTGGGTAGATCTACTCATCCTCGTTATTACAGTAAATTCTTGAGCAACGTTGATATGCTACACGATTGGATGTGCTAGTATACAAGCTGATATGCTACACCGTACACGAGTCGATACGCTGCACAAAAAAGGGATGGGATATGTTCTCTTTGTTAAGTTAATCAGTACCCTTATCAGGAATGGAGGGCTGGTAACCCTTATGCAATTAATTTTGGAATGCTAGTTAATAGGTGTACATGGTGTTTAGTTTAGAAATTACCCAAACTGCTTAGTCAGCATTATCATTAGGACTTGACCATCTACTCAAGTCTAGTACTAAGTACCTTTCAGTCATCTCCTTGCTTCAGTCGACCAAGCCTTGAAATATTGGCAGCCACATTCCACCCAAAACAAAAGACCAATCTTAATCAATCTTCCTGTAACAGATCAGAAACGTAAATGAAGACATGAAATGCTATTATTATTATATAACTTGCTTGTTTTATTCTTTTGTTGTGGAATATTATTATTAATGTCAGAATTGATTAATATTTTTTATTGATAATAGGTGAAAGTGTGAGTGTTTTGAAGCATACTGACGCAATCCCAGATACCAAAGCTGTCAACCAAGACAAAAAGAACCTGCTATTTTCGGTAACATACCATTTCATTCTCATTGTTAACGCCTCTGTCTTTGCATAGAGAAAAAGATCCGTATGCCGGTAGTGAGTTTATTTTTCATTAGAGTATGTAGCTAGGGACGTTGTGCCTAGCTCTCCATTACTTCAAAATTAGGTCTCGCTCTAAAATTTTGCTGCAGATATTTATAATTATATGCATATGAATAATGCTGAGATTGCTGTGTATTCCATGGGGTAATTGTTTAGGTCTTAAATTTTGTCAATCAATTTCTCTGACGAACTGACTTTACAGGAATCTAACACCTCTCAGTTACTGAACTCATGGTTAGGAATTCAAACCACACACTGACCATTCTTGAGCAGCCATGCTTAAATACTCCAGCCTGCATTTTTAGTGGTAACACTTTATGCAGAAAAGTCTTTCAGGCTTCTTTTTTTGGAATAAAATAAAAAGAAAATTAAAAACAATAAATATAATAAACTAAATAAAATTAATTTAAATATTTAATTAAAAAAGAAGGAAGATGCCAGTTTTTGTCATTAAGTATAAATTATATTTGAATAAAATCAAATGACGTCATTTTAAAAACACAATTACGCAGGTTGTTATGTAATTTGTTGAAGTTTGTATGACAAATTTGTGGTGTTTGCCTAAAGGCATGGTGATGTCAAATCATATTCATATCCATATTGGGACATGGTAATCGGCATAAATTTGTATGGGCAAATCACAGAACTGTCGCATACTTACCAAAGCGCCAAATGATCAAAATACTTTTGAAATTGGATTCGATTATAGAATTTATAGAGGCCTACTGTATATAATATCAAAAAGTCTAAGATGTGTATAATGGATAAATGTTACATTACCAGTAGTAAATTTGTATTTTAAAAAGTTTTATACAAACTTTGTTGTTTATGATTTTAATAAACAATAATTCACGCATCTTAATACGAGGCTGTTGAGCAGACCTGGAAAAAATATTTGTGCCTCCAACCATGAAAATTGTATCAATAAAATGCCTGCAGCGCCAAATGTTATCTGTACCCTTATATACAGCCCAACAGTATATTTATTATTTATATTTTTTCCCCAAAAATTCCTCCGGGACATTCATGAGGCCTCCGACTGCTGCTCGCATGGTTGCTGACTTTCCCAGCAATACTGTTGAGGCTTGGTTTTAACGTTTGTAACTAAAAGAAAATAACCAACAATCAAAAACGGGGAAAAATAATGATAGTCACTCCCGGCCTTTAAGGCATTTTTCACTCTTTACTACATCGGTATTATTAATATTTCATGATTCATTAGTTTGTTAGTTTTATTTATGATAGCAGTATTTACATTTTTCATGAGGTTGGTACAGTACTGTATATTACGTAGGTGTTTGTTAGTTGTGTAATGAGAAATTTGATAACGCTTAATGGATATTCGATGAAAGGCCATGTGTATATTTAGATGACACAATGATGAGCAGCATATCACGACCCCATGCTCACCTAGGCTTTCATATGAATGACAGCCACCATTAATTGCAGCCACATGTCATGGTGTTGGAAGTTTGCTTTGTGGACATCTAGGACAGAGCATGTTATCTGGCCCTATTATCTCAAGCCAAGCCTTAAATGGGTTGGCAGTGAACAGCTGTAGCATGGCTGTGTATTGCTAGTGTTAAAGGAACATGAATGCATGTATGGTTAGGTTAAGGATTATTTTTATGTTCGTTATTTTTATTTAAGAATATTTTTGTTCCTTTTGTTCAAAGGTTTATAGCTGTAAAAAACTAAGAGTGGGTTATAGACATTTTAAGGGTTCATGGGTGATAAAATTGGGTAAACTCTAAATAGAAAGAATGGATTTTAAGCATGGAAAAGTGGGTTAATAAGGGAGGATGGAGGGCCATGAAATTGGCTTTAGTCTGGGTGGAAAATGTCAAGGCTGGGTAGCTCCACACACCATAACTACATCTTTGTATTCATTATTTGTCCAATGCTCAAACAAAATGTGCTTGATTATTATTACTATTTATGGTTCTAATATCCAGGTATTAAAATATTATGCTAGGCTAGTTTTAGTAGTTAATATTCCCAGAGTTAGTAATTTTTATATTAGAATAATGATATTAATGTGTCCATAAGGAATAGCAATGGGATTATTTAGTAGCTTAAATTACGTGCGAGTTACAAGCAAAAAAAGGAAGGCAGACTTCATCCAGGGTCCATAATGTAATACCTTGCTAGCATATTTTGTAGGTTTAATATAAAGATATGACAAATCAATGTTTCTTCTCCTGAAGGAAAAATTGTATTATTTAAAGTAATTGAAATTGACAGAACATGATCCATTACACATTATGAATAACTGTTTGTAAAGTATATTAAGTATTTGGATAAAGTCACATTAAAAAAGGGAACTAGGCAGCCGTATTATGCAGTCCAAACTTAACAAGGTGTGGTTTTTTGGAATAGACACAATCAACGACCAGAGGAACATGAAGTTGAGTAAAACTAATCTCAAACAAGTTCAAAATAAATTTTGAGACCATCCCATTTCTCATTAGATTAGAAAAAAACTAGGAAAGGGTGACTAGTGTTCACTTCATTTTTAAAAAGAGTGAAAAAAAAATTACAATTATTTTAGTGTACTTTTACAGGTGGGAGAGCTCACAGAATGGCAAATTCTTTCTACTTTTTAAAATGTTAATAACATGTGGATGACTCCTTATCAAACCTCATAAGAATAGATGATATTTTGATGTAGTTATACTGTAATATTAAGTGTTGACAATACATAGACCTTGGGTTCACCTGTTACCATTCATAATATTGACAGTTGCCAAAAGAAATTGAAATAGTTATCGAATGTATTTTAGATTTTGTTTTTCTGTTTTACAGTAGGTGGTTAATAAACCAGCTGCCTTGTCCAGCTTTCATAACCATAGTCCATTCCACGGAAGTGCACAATGGGAATTACTGATCATTTGCCATGAAATTTTGTTTCCTCTGTAGTAGGTCTTTACGGAGCATCAGTCGAACTTATCCGAACAATCATAACATGTTATTCAATAGGAGGATGGTCCTGGAATATGCGCTTGGCCCGCAATTGCACAAGTTCATGACTGTACATTACAAGGCTGCCATTTTGTGGAACCCTTGCAATATTCCACGTCTAGGGCTTAGGAAAACAGTCCATTATTGGTAAATGTAATAAATGTAAACCAAGCCAATAGAATGATTGGCATGATATGGCGTATTGTTGATGATAATGATTTCTGAAATAATATTTAGAGGCTTATTACTCCAAAATTAACTTAAAAGGGAGTTCCATGGCCTAGGAGCTGCAAAAAAAAAAGAAGAGCAGCTTTACAATTGTGTGAAAATGCACAAATTTTACCAATAATCTGCAATTGTTCGATTGTCAAGCTGGAGAATAGTTAAGGAAGGAGTAGAGAGATGAGATAGAGATGGATTTTATCATATTTTTCATTCTTCACAGGGTACCAACATTGCTGCAGGAAAATGTGTTGGTGTGGTAGTCGGTACTGGTCTGAACACAGAAATTGGTGAGTTTCATCTTTTAATTAACAGTAATGTAAAATAAATTTTTTGTTTTTCTCTTAGGATTCTAAACACAACTCAAGTTAATATTTATCTTGTCATCAGAAATATCAAGTTTCAATGTTGCTTCTCATTTAAACGCAATAATGCAGACAAATTAAGAAACTTATTGTCGCTCATTTGGGTAGTAGTGAGATCACATGAATTTTGATGATAAAATCTTCTAACTCGTCAAATGAAAATATTGTTGGCCTGTTTTGAAGAGAAAGAAAGATTGTTTAGAATTTATTGTATTGTATCTGAAGAGATGATTTGTATCAAGAGTATCGGCAGTACCGCCAATGTTGCCAATTAGCGTCCAGGTATGGCTTTCGGTATTCTAAAATTCAAGAGACACGTAGACAGATGCTGTAATTAGGTTCAGGATGGGAGTACAGCATTGTATACTGATTCAACATATAGCTAGCAATAAGATATCATACCTATGATGGAAGGCTAATCACAAAAAATAACCCCTTATGTGACCTGTTATCATGTGATCTAAATTAACCAATCAGATTTCCGTCTAGGTGATTGATGGCAACAATTGGGCATTCTTAAGACAGGCACTGTAGGCTAGTCAACTGCACTATAACAGCTAATTAAATATGGCCTTGTTTCCAAATTGAGTTATACATTATTTCTATTAATTCATGTAATATTGACTAAATATTAATGAATTTATTACCAATAAATGCTAAAGTAAGTTAGGTTTCTGATTTTCCATTTCATTTATTAATTAGATTGATTGGGTCCATATATTTTCGTAATTAGAATTTTTACCAAACCTTTACTGCATAATAACCTTTACTGCATAATAACCTTTACTGTCGTTCTTGAAATATTTAATAAAAATTAATATTTTAAAAATAAAATGCAATGCTTAAAACATTTTCAAATTGAATTACATAATATTAAGTATACATGCTAGCACTGTGGTAATTGATGTAAACTGCGCATAAAACTAGGTCTCTTAGAGGGGCGGATTTGGGGGAGGGGAGGGCCGGTCCAGCCCAGCCCCTCCTCCCTCTTGGAAAGCGAAAAAATAAAAAAAAAATAAATAAAAAATTGATTGCCCAAAGCGTCTCGAAGCTTATTTTTAGGTTATTTTCACGTTAGCATGTCCCCGGACCCCTAGGGTAGTGTTATCCCAATCGGTCCCACTTTCAGCTTCTTTTCAACCCTCTCCCTTTTGGACATCTCTGGATCTGCCCCTGCTCTTTCAGCAAATGTCCAATAGAAGTTGAATAAAAGAAACAAATAAAATGAAGAAGAGACTTACTTACTGTAGTTCCTCTGGTGTAAGCCCACCCTCCTTCAACACAAAATTGGGCCAATTTTTGGGGGTGGGCTTAGTGTATACCTGGAGAATTTCTTTTCAATCAAATGGAAATTTTTGGCACTATATACCGAATTCAACCAGTATTTAATATTCATTCCTTAGAATATTTGTAAAAGTGCCCGAGGAAAGGCTGGTACATAAAATTGGGCATAAAGTTAGGGGTGGGCTTATATCCGAGGTGGGGGTTATACCCGAGGAACTACAGTATTGGTTTTCCTCATGAGTCTGGTTTCATGCCGGGACTAATGTGCTTATTACAGACTGATAAATCTTTAATCCTATGTTTTCCTGTCCAAGTCTAACAGTACAGTAAGTAGTAGGTGTGTTGGATATTTAATCCTTAGAAGGATATTGAAGTCCACCAGTGAGAGCATAGTGGGTGTCAAATTTAATATATCATCCATTATTTACCATCCATAATTTAAAAGGAACCAATTAATACTAATAGTTGTACTCATACAGGAGTAGTAGGTGTCGGTGGCCACACAATGCGCAGGAGTTTCTAGTGTGGATGTTATATAAAACATTTACGTCGATTATAAAGTAAGTTAAATATTTTCTATTAATAAAGCAGAACTCAAAATAACCTCGTAGTTGATTCAATATTTTAATCATTTATTTTATTATCATCAGTCTGATACCACTTTATTAGCTATTATTTAATGTTTAGTAGAGAATGACTTTCTAAAATTGCAGTAGTCCAATTATATAATATAATTATTTTATAAGAAAATTTTATTTAATGTTAATTTTTAATATGTTAAAAATGCTTGAATAAAATTTAAAATATTAAAATAATTTAAATAATGTAAATTCATTTGTTATGCACCTCAAATTGCTAATGCAATCATTCTGATAATATTGTTAGGTATTAAAATTTTAAAAAGTTGTGTGAGTAACCATGTATTGATAAAAATTATTTGGGATGTTATTAACTTTGATAATGTCAACTACATTCATTCAATGTTCATTCATCTGTCTAAGACGTGTCTGTAATTCTTTAAACTCGTAGTCCGATTTGAAAAGGGGAAAATAAGTTATAATGTTAAATTCTTTAGGAATGATTCAACATGAAACGATACTTTTTGATAATGATCAAGAGTGATCGCTATAGTAGTAAATTGTTTTCAAGGGTTTTCATTAACATTTTGCAACGTGATTGAAACAACAATCTGGTATAAAAAACATGCAACGCATATTCTACATAAAGCCCTCAAGCTGCTTCCCCTTAAATTCAATATACTTGTCTGCAAAACATCAGCTTACTGGCTTTTAAACACTCTGACCGCCAGGGGTTTGAAAAAATAGTATCAGCCACCGCAAGACTTTTTAGCAAATTTTAACACTTTTTGAAAGCTGGTTGAGAGTGCGTATGTGATCAGATTGACATGTAGTGAATACTACAAGAACTACAAACATTTTAGCTTTACAATGGTACCAAACACGTTGTTCTAATCGCAATCTGTGACCCGTAACAGTTAAATGAAAATGACTCACTTTTGGAGATTTACGCAATTTCACACAACGAAGCTGAGATAATCGCGATTTCGTGAAAGTAAATCAATATCACTCTACGCTAATACAAACAAATAGTGAAATACTTACATTCCAGATTGAATGTAGTCTTCAAATTGTTAGTATGTCGGTAATCACCCCATATATGGGATTCCATAAAAATAACCTGAAACACAGAGATCTCCATGTTTGGTGGTCAAGCTTTGCTTTACCAAACACTGAGATCTCCATGTTTGGCGGGCAGTTTTATTCTGGGCCGTCGACTGAGGCTTCATCATTGCCTTGGTTCAGACCCCTCCGTCGGACTCCTTGTCGGCAAATTTCTGACGCCACCGCTGATCCACAAAATATAAATCAAAAAGCAAAAAAAATATAAAATTGTATGTAAAAATTTAGAAAGATATTTGTATATTGCTAATACCAATAAACTACTCGTAATTGCTTCTTATAATCCACATCATACAAACTCCACACTTTATTCTTCAACTTAAAATATAAAATAAGGCATCACATGATGCAAACTATAGAGGGTGTATTAAAAAAGTGAAATGGATGAAAAATGAAATTTAATTAGTTACTGTATAAGTTGTTATTTATGCGAGGGTTTAATTTTCGCGAATTTTGTGAATGTAGCGCTTACCGCGAATTTCACCACTCGCGAAAATGTCCACAAATTTCAAATTACAGGAAGTACTGTAAACAACAACCGAATGAAAGGGGGAACCCAGTTTGGTCGGAAATCTCGGGTAGTACAGCTGTAGCGCGTGATGGATTACGCTGCGCCGCATTTAGCACGTTCAGTGCGGGCGTAGTTTGAGACCTGGAAAAAAACAATTCCTTCACCGACTGTACAGTACTCTAGGCCTACAAAAATAACTACTAAGCCCTACTAGAGACAGTACTACTATGCCCTACTACTACTAGTAAAATACCAACACGCGAAAATGTCAAGAAAGTTGGAAATCGCGAAAAATTCTGTACGCGAAAATAACACCATATACAGTATATAGTAAAATGTACTTACACAAGGTTTAGGAAATGTTTAAATATATAATTCCTGGATCATCAGGGTATGGGACATGACAAAGAGCGTCGTTTTAAAGAATACAAATGGAATAACAGAAAGGAAAACTGAAATACATTACATGAGGGCCTCAACAATTACAGTACATGCGGGCAACAGTGTTTTTGCTGTATAAGAGGAACGGGATAAATTGATCACTTATTTATATTTTCGATGAACCTCACTCTATACCCCACGCAAGCATGCTAATAAACTCCCGATACAGATAAACTTCCTGCTAGTATCACAACAGGTTGTTATTTGATTGGGAAGGAATAAATGAAAAAAAAATGTTGATGGATATTACATCATATAACTCAAGATCAATAATACTTCTGAAGTAAAGATACTTATTCTATTGAAACATGTTAAATATACGTCAACTGTAGTAGCAATAAAACCGAGGCATTAAGAACTGATTTGTCATCTTTTGTGTACCTGTCAATAAACACCAACATACACACTTTCATCTGTCTTTGTTTTTATAGCACTTGATATTTGTCCATTCTAAATGCAATTCTAAATCTGCGCTATTATAGTTTTTGTCGCTGCTAATGTAGGGTGTATGCTATTTATTGCAAAGAGAACTTTAAATTTTAATCTCTGATATAGGCCTGGGTAAAGTGAGAATCGCATTTAATTAACATTTATTAACATTTATTATAATCAACAATTGAAAAAATCAAATTGTTTTGAAATAATTTTATAAATAAACAGTAGAGATTAAACAAGCAAGAAACTATTAATTTCAGTTTTCTCAACTACTTGAATTATCAGCAATCCAGAGAGAATTTTGAGAATGGTACATTTTTTACTACTGATTAGAGAAAAATGTAGAATGAATAAACCTTTAGAATAAACCTTTGCAATGAGAATTATGCTCTTTTGACTAAGTTTACAATACAGTATGCCTGAATGACTTGAGAGACAATGGACAAAATGTTAGGTGTCGTGACAAAATGAGTCTTGTAGTACACTATATCAATTTGAGATATTCAAGAAAATATATCTTAAGTAATATTTTTTTATAAAAATTGTGTTTTGAT